ATGTTTCTACGTAACATTCTGGGGGTACACAGCCTAGCTTCAGTGGTGTTGACTTTAGGTCTTTTGATTCATTGCTGTACACAAGTACATGCCCAAATATTCTATATTAAAAATATAAGTATTACCCATATAACCCTGGAAAGCCCCACTTTTGTTTTAACAGGAAAGGACACCTTTCCTTCTGAACGCCTATTTATTTTTCAAATAATAAATATTAAATGGGCTCATTTTAAAGTAGCAAGCCTCTGGTGAGAACTACGTCGCACCAAATCAAACTTACCATTTGACCCTGTACTCAACATGGAGATGGTTTTAGTAGAGCGGAAGCCTTTAGTAGGCTTGCTCTTCCAAAACTGCTGCTGCTGTTGATTTACTGGTAGCAAAGCCGGGCTGTGTCCTAGGAGGAAAGGACAAGTGAATCCAGCGTTCTTGATTCCTTGGAGTTTGCCTTTTAGCAAGAGAAGAAGGAGCGTAGTTCAACAGTTAAGGTCCTGGACTAAGAAACATGAGATAGAGGATATATTACATTCTTAAAATTTAGGCATGTCTCTGGAGTTACCATTACATGAATAAATGGTCTTCTCAAAAAAAAAAAAAAAAAAAAAAGCAGAAATAGGATATATTACATCTGAGTCCAGATCTAATTTTTTTCGCTAGCTGACTACTGACCTCAGTGTCTTCATTTGCAAATTAAGAGACTCCGATTAAATAATAATTGCTGACATTTCTTCAAACTTTTTACTGTGTCAGGAACTGTTTTGAGTGCTTTCCATTAAATTTTTTAATCTTCAGAACTCTATAGATATTCTTTTTGTTTGTTTAATTTTTTCAATCACATCATTTTTTGAAGATATTCTTAATATGCCTAATTCATCCATTAGGAGACAAGACATTCTGAGGTAATCAAGTGCCCAGTAATCCGAGAATTTTAGAGATAGAAGGGCACACGGAAATCACCTCATCTAGGAGGCAGTGTGTATCACTGCGATTAAGCGGGCCAGCTCCGTGCCCAAAATATGTGCCGTTTAAACTTGGATCTCATTAAGAATACACCTTGAGCAAATGGCTTAACCTTCGTTCTTGTCTATAAAATGAGGATGATAATAGGATCTGCATTATAAAGTTGTTAGTATTAAACATGCAGTGCTTAGAACAGTGCTTGTCACCTAGAAAGCTCTCAGTAAATGTGACAGCTAATGAGGACGAGACTGATGATGGTAGTGACTGGATAAATAGCCACTATTGTTTTTCCTTTTTTTTTTTTTTTTTTTCCTGAGATGAAGTCTTGCTCTGTCACCCAGGCTGGAGTGCAGTGGCACAATCTCGGCTCACTGCAACCTCCGCCTCCCAGGTTCCAGCGATTCTCCTGCCTCAGCCTCCCGAGTAGCTGGAATTACAAGCATGCACCGTCATGCCCGGCTACTTTTTGTATTTTTAGTAGAGACGGTATTTCACCATGTTGGTCAGGCTGGTCTTGAACTCCTGACCTCAAGTAATCCACCCACCTCGGCCTCCCAAAGTGCTGGGATTACAGGTGTGAGCCACGGTGCCCGGCTGACACTACTGTTTTTCTTAGAAGAATGTGCTACAGCAGTATTAACAGATCCTCTATTGGGTTAGAAACAGGTGCTGCATTATCATCATCAGTGATACAGAATGGTTTTTTAGAGAAAGAAATAATTTATGTTGAAGAAGCAGAGTTAATAGGAGACTGTTCGCCCAGAAAAATGTGTGTTAATTTGTAATTCAGCAACAAGTTCATAGAAACATAGTGTCCGTAAACTAGATAGGTGCATGTATTTTTCTGGTTGTCTTTAAAGCTGTGAAATTTCAATAATGTGTAAGAGAAAAAGTGATATGTAAATACCATCATGGGTGGGGAGGGGTTATATTTAGGTGGTTAATATTAGGCAAGCCAATGAGTAATAATTAGCAAATTATTACCATGGCCCTCTGTGCACTTGAAGGCTCTCTGGTGGAGTCAAGGATAGATCTGTCTCTGTGGCATTTGTCAGAATGCAGATTTTCAGTGAGGGCTCTGTTAAATAAACCATCAGTGTCTGGGAGGGGGAGGGAAAGCAGACTGAGAAACGCAGCAGTAACACACATAGAAATGAAGTCCAAATTCGGGTGCTTATATGGCGATATTCCAGTTTCTCTGGATCATCATAGACACATATAGAATGTTCGTGCTAAATGGGACCTTGGAGATTGTCTGGTACAACCCCCTCATTTTACATTTTACTTTTCTGTGAGAATAGAGTTTGGTGAAATCTGGCCAGGATTTCAGTACAGTGAAATCAGGGAAGTTTGTGGTGTGTTTAAAGAGAGATTTCATGTTAGGATGAAGGGAAAGTGGACGTTCCTTCAGTTTTAGAGTGATGTCCAGGTAGGAAAGTAGAGTCGGTAAGGCAGTGAATTTTCCCAAATTAATTAAAAGAGAAAGGGGGAGAAAGGGCAAAGAGAGAATCTAATTTTATGCTTAACAGTTTTTGATTGGATGTGTAGCTAATGTTTAAAAGTTGATGAAAAAGAAAACTCTTACTATTTCTAGGAACTTGGTTTTCTTAAAGGAAGTTTGGGGGAGAGCTTAGCAGCACTGATGGTTTCAGCAAATGAAGGATCTATTTGCATCTAGTGTTGAACCTAGTAAGCAGTTTATGTTAATCCCTTACTCTTTAAGATTAATATATCTTGGTGCTTTAAATAATTACTTTTAACTAAGTTTATGCCTAATGCTTTCTTTTAAATAACAGTGTGTCTCAATAGGAACTAATGAGTCAGATTGATTTGACATGGAATTCTGAGCAGGGGAGGGACTGAAGTCCTCTTTCAGAACACTAAAAATGCTTTGCTATATTCCTTGACAGTTTCCCGAGACAGGGTTGGGTTGGAAGGAGTCTTTCCGAAGATTTAAGGGCTCCCCACTGTGCGAGCTCCCCAGTTCCAATAGTGTCAGGTCTGAATGAGGACACTTGTGAAAGTCCATATCTCTAGTGTGTCTATTTACATGGAGAAAAATAAGCCAACAGCCCCAAGGGTGAATCAAAGATAAGATTTTTATGACTCTGTACCCACTTGTGTTTTATTTTTTATAAAAAGCATTGTTTACCTACCATGTCTTTAAGTACTTCAGAAAGAGGCTTTGAGTTTGCCATTGTTTTTAATTTAAAAAGGAAAACATTGCACTTATTTCTCATCTGCACTTTTGTAAGGTGTGGAGATATTAGAGGCTCTCCATATTGGACGCCTCAACCTTGCCTAACAGCACAGCCCGCCCGCCTTGCTGGGAGAAAGGCTTCCAGAAAATGAGTAGAGCCGAGGGCTGAATACCATCTTAGTTTAGGTCATTCTTCTTTTTGCCTTTTGGTTCTGCTTCCCCTGGCTGCTCCCACTTCAGCATCTGCTTGTTGTGCTGGGTAATGGAATCAAGTTAGAGATGAAGAAACTGAGGCACAGCCTAGTTACAGCCCCTTGAGAGCACAGACAAGGCAAAATGAGAGGGAGCACTCAAGCCTTTAGTCTGGGCGGAGAGAGTAGGTCCTGCTGCTTCTGCCCTAGAAATTGCTTGGGCTTGTGATTTGACATCTCTTCTATCCATAGAAGAAACCTCTGCTTAGTACTTGCAAACTTGTACCACAAAGGTTACATCCTTCGGGGGAAAAAACGAAAAAACAGAAAGAAACAAACAAACAAAAAAACCAGCTTAGGAAACCAAAGGTTGCCAAGAATGGCATAAGGGAAAGCAATTTTTTAGCGTCTGTGCCTGGGGATTTTATACATTCTATATTGCTGGGAAGCACCAGGGTCAGTTCTGAGCAAGACACATTTTGTGAAACGAGGGGTGGTGTCTGCAGTTGGCATTCTTTCTTGTGGTTCTCACTCAGCTGTGCTCTCCAACTTTATTCACCTGTATGAGAACCCTAAGCAGGATGCCCTGGTGAAGAACAAGAAATTCCCAGGGTCTCGTAAATTTCAAGTCCACAAGTACCTAGTAGGGAGTGAAAATTGGTTATGTTTGGAGTATGGAGAGATAAGCTTAACTAAATTGTGAGTAAACATGAAAACATAAAAATAAAATCAGAATATGCCCTCAAATGCTGGGCAGAAGAATGTTAGGCAAATTTTATTGGTCTGTTAAAAAAAAAAAAAAAAAAAAAAAAAAAGCTAAGTGGGGAATGGTGGAATCATAGATGAAATAAGTAGAAAACTGGTATAGGAAAAACACTGTGGGTGGGGTGGGGGGGAAGCAGCATAATTAATTCTCATTTCCCCCTCTAGAGTTTGAAGTAGTAGATCCTTATGGGAAATGAAGGGAATATGTAAGAAATCGGAAAATTTTCTAAGCAGAAAATAATTTTTCTTTGGAGAGGAGGCATGTGAGTTCATGAATGTAAACCTGCATTAAAATGGAGAGAAAATTGTGGGCAGAAAGAGGGAGAAGGAGAAGCAGTATAATTGTTTTTTAAAATTCAGCCTAAATTGAGTACTTAGTATTTCCATCTTAGAGTATGCAGGGTTTTAAATATCTCTGTTCGAGGAAATCGATTTGAAGATAGAAAGGCCTTTCGAAAGTTAGAAATTCTAGGGTTTAGATTTTTTTCTTTCATATGTTTATTTGAAGCTTAGACTATAGAAACTATATATAAAATAAGAATTGTTATGTATTAGGAAATATTTTAGGAAATATTTTAAAATAGATAAGGCTAGTTAATTACTTAAATATATTGAAAGTATTAAAACTATTGAGTCATTAATAAGACCCCCAAAATATGTCAGTGGCAGGGTAAAATGCAGAAAAACTAAGTATATCAGAAACTACTATCTGTGATAAAATTCAAAATGGGGTTTTTAATTGAAGCATTAACTTAATTTAATTATATTTCAGACTTGCTACATAAAATTAGGACACAAAAGATACAAATATCTATATGCCCATCATGATTTTTTACAGAATAGAAGTAATCATAATCATTTACTTGTTTTTTTTATTTCTATAGGAAAATAGCAAAAATTTCATCTCCTGAAGAAATTTGAAGAGTTTTTTGGAGATTCTTTTAAAGGCGAAATTTTTCTTCTTTAGGTAAGAAAACGTTTTCTATTGTTTATCCATGGGTTGAAAAGAGCATTTCAACTAGACGAAAGAAGTATCATGTACTGAAACTTTGCTTATCTTAACTGATGTAAAACGTCATGAAGATGATAGAAAGCAGGACTTTTAATTTAAATAAAACAAAAGTAGAAATTTTTCATTTAAAAAGGATTAATTTGTTGGGGAAAAAATGAGACCCTTTTTTTGCACTTTCTCATAGACCAAATAAGAGGATTCCCATGAGTCATCTTTTAAAAATATTTAAGACATAACCAAATTAAAATAAAAGTTGTGATTCTGGCACAGAGTCTTAAAAAATATTTACCAAATCAAAAACAAGAGAATTTTCAGACATTTAAAATATTCCTAAACATAGATGTAAACTAATGTGATAAAGAAACTATTTTGATAAATTTGAAAGACTGGTCATTGTTTTAAAAGCAGGCCCATGAATTAAAGTTAATTAAGATTTGTGCAGTAACAGGGAAGCATAAACTTTGGTATATACTCATATGCTGGGAAAATACTGTTTTGTAGGGTCAGAATGCAAATATAAATAATTTGTTTAATCAGGCAAGAACCTGTACTTTGTGTGTGAACTCTTTTCAGTGTTTGGTAATTGTGTTATGTTGATAACATATGAAAAGGAGACAGACTAACTTTTTAAGCCTATTAGAATATTTGCAACTCATTCTATTTTTGGCAATAATTCTATTAGTGCAGTTTATTTCCATGAACAGTATAAAATACATATGTGAAAATCAGATTTTTGAAAGCAGATTAAAAGTGCAATTAAATTGTCTAAACAAACATTTTAAATACTTTGAAGTATTTTATGAAATTAATAGAACAAAACAAGTAGTTTCAGAAATTATAGAATCTGTTGTAAATATGCAAATTCGCACATTCTAGCTTTGTCACCAATGCCACATTTGGGAAAAGAAATAGATTGCAATGTTTGTCTTCTATTAACATATATATATTCTTAAAAGTATACAAAATTTTTCCTAATTTTAAACATATTAATACTGTTACATATAAATATTTTAAAAATCTTAGTATAAAGTTTAGGGTTTAAAAAAAATACGTTAAAAATTCATGTGGTGAAATAGAATCTAAAAACTTGAGGGAAAATACTAAAATTTTTGGTATAAATTTGAAGAGTTCATTTCTAAAATAAATTTGTTTTCTTCTTATAAAGACATCTACATCAATATTAAGTATATAGATTAAGACCCACTTAAATTACTTAATTAAAATATACTAAACTTCTAAGTTATTTTTAAAAGAATGATGTGGGTAAACTGAAAAGATTATAAAATTATTTCCAATGTAATCTTTACGTAAAGCCTTTTAATATATCAATTTTTACCTCTTATATTTTGAACCGTTAAAAGAAAAAAAAATGACTAATCTCCTAATGGAAAATATAATCTTATAGTACTGAGAAGAGAGTTGTAAGCACGTAATAAATATATGAGATCAGTTTCATTTCTGACTCGTTTTCAAGCCTTTCTTATGAATCATCATATATTTTAACATCAGGAGAATAATATATAAAATATGCTTTAAAATATTATAGCCTGGCAGCTATTAAAAAAAACAGGGAAAAAAATAGAGCTTTGCCTAGCAAAATACTAACTAGTTAGGTGAGAACTAGAAATGTACAGATGCTAAACTAGTATAATAAACTAAAATTCCAAATATATATGAATATATAATTTTTTATATCTTGGTATATAGCATTTGTCTTAATTGTTTAGGAAACTACATATTGTACAGGAGTGAAGACGTAAATGATGAAGTATTTTCTCATCATAGTTTACTAGATAAAAAATTTACTAATAAGCTAAATGTAATAGGAAGGGCCACATTTAAAATATAATTTTGTAGAGTTTTACTGAATACGTATCTTTCCAACAAGGCTTTAGGTTTTTGTGTGTGTATTAGGATTTCTGAGTTTTGTGATTTGAAATTCATGATACATTTTGACTGCCCTTTCAAATGGCAAATTGTTTCTGTGGAAAAATCAGACATTATGTACTTTTCATTTTATATTTGGGTGTGAGAAAAATAGCAGACAATTTGGGAGAATTCTAGTTGTTGCCTTAGTGCATGCATCAAATAGTAAACAATTATTTTTTTCTCTCAGTTATACGTCTGGGCATGTTACAGTTTGTACTGTATGTACAAACAGGATATTGAACTTTCATTGATGACACAGTGATCTCTAAACGTGATTGTTAATCTTTACTGAAATTATGGGCAAAGTATTTCAAAAAATGCGTTTTTAAACTCATTTTTAATTAAAATGAGAAAAACTTTGAAGGAGTTCATTTATGAATAAAATATGTAATTGTGCAGTCGCCTGAAAGAATGAACTCTTAGTTTATTTTTCAAATTTTATTAAAATGTTTCTTTACCTGTTGCTTGTTGGCATTTTAAAATTAAAAAGTAATAAAGCAGCATTATTATATTTCTGATTATCTATCAATAGAGTGAAAGGGAAACCAAAGTATATAGACACAACCCAGGTTTTCCCCTAAAAAAAAAAACTAACTTCAAATTGAAAAAATATATTGCCCATATTTGATATTTCTTATTAGGACTTACTTGGAGTCGCATAATTTTTTTTAAGACAATATATTGGAGGAAATTTGTCTTATAAAATGGAGAGATGTAGAACATTGTGGGCAGTTGTAGGATAGTCTCTCTCTTGTTGCTTCCCAGAAGTTAGAAAACAGATTTTAAATTAATAGTGTTGAGTACACGCATCTCTGGAGTATAATAATTTAGAAAAATGTTGGAAAATGATGAAGGCGAAGGGGAACATTAATTGAAGTTAAGTGTCCCCTTTTCAAATGGGAAACATTTGACACTATGAGGAGTGCTCTGGAGATTAACAAATGCTTCTCTGTCAGGGATAATTTTCTGGGCAGTTGAGGTTGTTTGTGTGATAAGGGAAGGCGGCTAGATAGCATAACTGTAGGTGTTTGAGAAAATTTCCGAAGTTACTTTCAGATTGAAAGGGTGAAAGTAGGTGCAACAATTGGCTGTGGGGATGGGAAAGGGTGCAGGGCTCGCCAGCCCGGCGCCACTACAGGGTTAACCGCGGCGCCGCCCGGTGCACACTGGGAGTTGTAGGCCGCGGGCATTGTGGGAGTTGTCGTAAAAGCCTGCTTTTTTTGCCGTGATGGCCGTCGCCGAAGCAGGGAGTTGAGGGTTTCTGCCTTTCGGAGGGTTTGGGGGGGCTGTCGGTCCCGTTAGAAGGCCACCAACAGCCCCCCAGGTTGCCAAGGGTCTGTTAGTTGTGTTCCTGGAAGGTGGGCGAGCAGCCTGACGGGTTAACATTGGGATTTGCCGTCGTTACAGCGGTCAAGGGGCCTGTAGCGGCTACAGGGTCGGTGAGGGGTCCCAGCCGGCCGGACCTTGGTCGTCTGGCATTCTGCCTTTGAAATATCTGGGTGGCCAGCGCCTAGGCATGTGGGGGTGTGCTTTCTGTGTTGTGATTTGTAGCTTGCACCCTCCACTGTTCTTAGAGCATTTGGCTCTGTCCATATGGCTGTTGGTACTCATGGCCCAATTTGGGGTTGGACTGGGCTCTTTTTCTTGGGCTTGGTGGGACTTAAGCAAGAACTGAAATTTTGTAAGATGTACAGCAGTGTCCTGGGTGTTGTCTGTCTGGTTTGGGGTGTGAGCAGTTGCAGGAGTTATGAACGTGCCCATGGTCGCGTGGTTGGCTTTCCCTTGCATGTGGTGAACTTTCCCCTCATTTGCTAATGCTGAGAGGCAGTGTCAGGGAGTTCCTACTTGTGAAATGCCTTCTTATTAACTTGGATGTGTTCCTAAATCTTGGGAGCTTTGCAGTTGCTTGTAGAAAGATATGTGTGCAAAACTGAATTTAAAACGAACACCAGGGTTGCAGGTACCTTTAGTTCTAGGGAGCCAGCTCGCCCAGTCTTCCCTGGTGCTGTGAAGTTGTTTGAGTTTATTTATGGAAATTAGGTTGGCTTTGAGCTGTGTTACCTTACTCTTGGCTCAGAGTTTCTCTGCATGTTGGGACTCTAATATTTGATATTGGGTACTCTTTCGAGGCTAAATGAAGCACTGTGTACTGATGTGTAATTTCGTGTATCAGAATCTCAGGGTAACAGATAGCCAAGCATGGCAGTACCTGTTTTATCTGTCTACACGAATTGGACCTCATTGTTTCTGCCACCATGTACTGCTCCATAAATTCCGCCTTATTTCCATGGTCTGGTTGTTGTCTGTAAGTTTTGAAACCTAACTGATCATGAAAAGCCATTTTTCAGGCGGTATTTAAAAGCTTTTTCCCACAAATAGAACTGGTATCTAAAACATTTTTTCATTCAAGTTTGGTAAGGTGGGAGATTTGAAATAAGGTCCAACAGTGGTTTTGGAAATTAGCTATCAAGTCTTGGTTTTAGGGACCACCACGTGACAGAAATGATTTATAGAGAGAGTAAAACTTGTGTTCCATTTTTCTTGCTATTGTAGTGCATATAAAAACTAAATAAACCACTTTGACATATCATTAAAAAGCCCTTTGATGTTTTGCAATGAATGAGGTTTTTGTAACTCCCCTATTGCCTGGGTTTGCTTAGAATATAGTAATGGGGCCGGCAAGGTGGCTCATGCCTGTAATCCCAACACTTTGGGAGGCCGAAGCCAGGGGATCACTTGAGGTCAGGAGTTTGAGACCAGCCTGGCCAACATGGTGAAACCCCGTCTCTACTAAAAATACAAAAAATTTAGCTGGGTGTGGTGGCGCATGCCTGTAATCCCAGCTACTTGGGAGGCTGAGGTGGGAGAATCGCTTGAACCCAGGAGATTGCAGTGAACCGAGATTGTGCCACTGCACTCCAACCTGTGTGACAGAGTGAAACCCTGTCTCAAAAAAAAAAAAAAAAAAAAAAATTGCTGGGTGTTGTGGCAGGTTCCTGTAGTCCAGCTACTCTGGAGGCTGAGGC